CTCATCGCCAGCCGTGGCGACCTCCACGAAGGTAGCCTTTGGAACCAGGCAGGGTTAGAGCTAGGGTTTAGGGTTTAGGGTTTAGGGTTAGAGTTTAGAAGTTAGGGTTCAGGGTTTAGGGTTTAGGGTTCAGGGTTCAGGGTTCAGGGTTTAGGGTTTAGGGTTTAGGTTTAGGTTTCAGGGTTCGGTTTTTGGGTTTGGGTTTAGAGGGTAGCGGAGGTTTTGTGAGGTCTTCTGCGTGTAGGACTTGTCGGATGCTGGGCGTGGAATCTGAAGGCCCTAGACCGGCTCCTGTTTACGAGGTGCTGGGCCTTTGTTTTCGAAGGCATGCTAACCCCAAACTCACCCACAACCCTAAGCCAAGCCCAAGACCCAAGGTCCAATCCCTCCCCTCTGAACCTAAACCCTAAACCCTAAACTAAGTGAGGGGTCGCTTCCGTCGAGCGACAGACCCCGAGCCCGAGCGCCCAGGCGAAAAGAGAAACGGAAAGGTGAGGGTTAAGCCTCACCGTCTGTCCTGGACAGGCCAACGGACATCGGCCTTTTTTACGACAACGTCAGTACTCGGCTAAGGGATGGCTGGCACCCAGACCACCTTTAGCGTAGCTAAAGTATAACCCCAAATCGTAACCCTTTGCCTCTGTCTGGAGGTCGGTTCAGGGTTTTGGGTTCAGGGTTTGTCGGGCCCCTTCCCCGGGGGTTCCCTGGTCCCTGGTAGCTGGATTCCTGGACCAGGAGGCTGGCGAGGGGTCCAGGCAGGCTTTCGCCCCGGGCCAAGGGCCCGGCCCATGGGGGGCAAGGGCCCCCTGGGGCCAAGGAGCCCCCGCACCAGCGGTTGGGCAAGCGCCCCCCACGCCAAGGGCGGAAGGGCCCCGGCCAAGGGCCTCCCCTGTGCAAAGGCGATTTCGTCCCCATCGAGGCCCGACTTGGGGGTATTGCCATGCCACGGGCTATGTTGCGATACATTCTGGGGTCAGAGCTGCGACATGCCGTCAGTCTTCTTTAGTTTCAAGGTTTCCTCCCCCTGCACTCTTTGCTACCGAGCACCAGGCCCCAGCCGTCTCCAGCACCCCCGTCCCCGGGGCCAACGGCGCCCAGGGACCAAGGGCCTTTGGGGCCAAGGGCCCCCCGGGCCAAGGGCCTTCCGGACCAATGCCTTTGGGCCAAGGGCCCCCGAAACTCCATCTGCCCAATCAATCCTGCCAAGGGCACCCCCAACCAGGGCTCTTGCAGGGAATCGCACGCCCAGGAAGCCCCCAAGAGGCGCTAAGAGCCACCAAAAGGCTTCAAAAGCTTCAAAAGGCCCACTAAAAGAAGGGGGACCACAAGATTTGTCCGTGCCCACAGTGAAAAATTGCGATTTTTGAATATTGAAAACGATGGTTTTAGGCACCCCTGCCCGCAATGAAAAATGTTCTTTTTTAGTACTGAAATCGATGGCTCCCCCCAAATCAGCAAGGACCTCTACGGGCCCTGACGTGCCGAAGGCCCGAAAAGGACCGAGGCTACCCCGGGTACCCCGAACCCCAACCTAAACCCTAACACCGCAAAACCCTACAACGGCCTTCAAGTAAATAAGGGCCTCTACGGGCCCTAACGTGCCGAAAACCCGAAAAGGGCCGAGGCTACCCCGAACCCTAGCTTAAACCACCGCAAAACCCTGCGAAGGCCTTCAAGCAAATAAGGGCCTCTACGGGCCCTAACTTGCCGAAGGCCCGAAAAGGGCCGAGGCTACCCCGAACCCGAGCTTAAGCCCTAGCGATTGAAATACTCATTGGCGAAAAATTCATAAATAGGTTCCCTGACCTTTAAATGAATAAAGCCTCTGCAACGCTGAAGGTCCGAACAAGGCCCCGAGAGACCCCAAGAGCCACCAAAATGCTTCAAAAGGCTTCAAAAGGCCCCTAAAAGAAGGGGGTCCCCAGGATGCCCGTACCCGCTATGAAAAATGCGATTTTTTGGTAGAGAAATCGATGCTTAATTGAGGCCCTTAAAGAAGGGGAATCCAGGAGCAGACACAAAGGGTTTCCCTGACCTTCAAATAAATAAGGGCCTCTACGGGCCCTGACACGCCGAAGGCCCGAAAAGGGCCGAGGCTACCCCCAACCCCAGCTTAAACCCTAACAGCGCAACTTTAAAAACATCAAAGCAAGCATCAGAGCACAAGAAAGTAAATTCCATAAACCCTAAACCCTAATAGAGTATAGTTTGGGTGGCCGGGGTGGGTTGACGGGCAACGCGAGCGCGCGGCCCGGGGTGTTTCACACCCGAGCGCGCGCCCTCCCCTGACACACCCTAAACCCTAAACCCTAAACCCTAAACCCTAAACCCTAAACCCTAAACCCTAAACCCTAAACCCTAAACCCTAAACCCTAAGCCCTAAGCCCTAAGCCCTAAGCCCTAAGCCCTAAGCCCTAAGCCCTAAGCCCTAAGCCCTAAGCCCTAAGCCCTAAGCCCCAAGCCCTAAGCCCTGAGCCCTAAGCCCTAAACCCTGTAGGGTTTCGGTTTTGAGGTTTGGGTTTGGTACACCCGCAAGTCGCGTCGGTTGCGTATGAGCTCTGCCACCTAACCCTAAACCCTTATCCCTACATCCCTAAGCCTCCAGGTTTAGGGTTTTGGGTTTAGGGTTCAGGGTTTAGGGTTTGGGGTTTGGGGTTTAGGGTTTAGGGTTTCAGTACCTTTCTAGTTGGCTAGAGAAGGCGCGGCCCCAACTGGGCTTCATGTCGTGCCGTGCCCCAGCCACACTCTGCACGGAATCTAACACCTGGGTTTAGGGTTTTGGGTTTTGGGTTTAGAGCTAGTGAACCTAGATTCAATGTACATTAAAGCCCTCCTTTCCATGACAGCTCAAGTCATGTTCCTTTAAGCGGCACCCAGAAACTGTAGTCCTAAACCCAGTGAAGAAAGACAAGTTCATGCTCACATGTCGTCGGCTCTCAGCCCTAACACCCCAAATTGTTGGGAACTTTCAGGCCCTAAACCCTAAACCCTGAACCCTGAACCCTAAGCCCCAAACCGCAAACGCTAAACCCTAAACCCTTCAACTGGAAGGCGCTCTGCGAGACTTTGCCTCAAGCCTTTCAAGCTGCCTTAGCTCAGCAGCTCGGGCCAATGGTGGCGTTAGGGTTACAGGGTTACAGGGTTACAAGGTTTAGGGTTGGTTCGGTTCTTTTTTGGAGGGGGTTTTTAGGGCTTTTGGGTTTTAGGGCTTGAAGATTTAGGGTATTGTGGGTTATTGGGCTCAGCTTGCTTTTGTTTCTCTGGGCTTCGGGGCTTTAGGGGTTTTAGCACGCTAGTGTTTTAGGGTACTGGGGCTGTTACTTTGGGACTTTCTGGTTTTGAGGCTTCTTCATGTAAATAGTCTGGAGAGATCGGGAGACATTGCAGCTTGAGCCACAAAGGCCTTTGTTTTAGGGTTTAGGGTTTAGGGTGGCAAAGTCCATGTGGAAGGCCCTAACGGAGAGTCCTTTCGGGGGGTGCCAGCAGTTGTCAGGTTGCGGGAAAGGGTCTTCCTTTTTGGGGATACGAGCAATGAAAGCCCTATGCTTCAAGCCCCCGAAACCCTAAACCCTGAACCCTGAACCCTAAACCCTAAACCCTAAACCCTAAACCCTACACCCTAAACCCTAAACCCTAAACCCTAAACCCTAAACCCTAAACCCTAAACCCTAAACCCTAAACCCTAAACCCTAAACCCTAAACCCTAAACCCTAAACCCTAAACCCTAAACCCTAAACCCTAAACCCTAAACCCTAAACAAAGGCACGGCGACATCTTGGCACCCATGGCCTTGCGACTGCTGACCTCGGAGCCGGATGGCAGCCTGTGGCGGAAGGCGCCTTCAGGGCTTTGCTCCAGGGTTTAGGGTTTAGGGTTTAGGGTTTAGGGTTTAGGGTTTAGGGTTTAGGGTTTAGGGTTTAGGGTTTAGGTTTCGGGTTTAGGGTCTAGGGTTTAGGGTTTAGGGTTTTAGGGTTTAGGGTTTAGGGCTTGGCTTTTCAGAGTGGGTTTAGGGCTTTAGGGCTTTAGAGCTTAGCGTTTTGGGGTTTAGGGTTTAGGGCTTTAGGGCTGTAGGGCAGGGCTTTAGGGCTTGAGGGCTTGAGGGCTTTCGGGCTTTTGGGCTTTGGGGCTTTAGGGCTTTAGGGTTTAGGGTTTAGGGTTTCGGGTACCGGGTTTAGGGTTTAGCGGGTTTAGGGCTTGGGGTTGGAGTTTGGCATCTAGGGCCTTCAGCGGTTTAGGGTTTAGGGTTAAGGGTTTCATGTGACACTTGCAGCGAATCAGCTCTAGCCAAATTTGAAGCACTTGTAGAGCAGCAGTTGCTTCTGTCACCATTAGGGTTTGGTTGTTTCTAGCTACTTTTTTCGCGGTTCAGAAGGCTTGATAAGCTTTCGCACTACAGACGCAAAAGCCCAAACCCTGAACCTTACAGCCAAAACCCTGAACCCGAGGAGAGGGTTTAGGGTTTAGGGTTCAGGGTTCAGGGTTCAGGGTTTAGGGTTTAGGGTTTAGGGTGTTGCAAGCACAGTGTGTCCTGGAACGTTTATGAGCTCGAAGAAGCAGAGTTGTGCAGACGACTGGAGAACCCTAAGCCCCGGGCCAGAAAGCCCCTTCCAAGAACCCTTCAACCCTAAACCCTAAAAAACCCTAGACCCTAAACCCTAAACCCTAAACCCTAAACCCTCAACCCTAAACCCTAAACCCTAAACCCTAAACCCTAAACCCTAAACCCTCAACCCTAAGCCCTCAACCTTCGGGGTGTAGCACAAAGGGCCGGAGGTCACGTGAAGCTGGATCCTCGTAGCATGTTTCATCATCCGGACCTCAGGAAAAAGTTTTCTTACATGCTCAGCCTAAACCCTAAACCCTAAACCCTAAACCCTAAACCCTAAATCCTAAACCCTAAACCCTAAACCCTAAACCCTAAACCCTAAACCCTAAACCCTGAACCTCCCTAAACCCTAAACCCTGAACCCTTCAGCAGCACCGAGAAAGAAGTCTCGGACATGTCTGAGACTGCACGGGCGCCCGAGACGGAGCCAGCTGAAGGGGTCAGCTTGGAGACCCAGATCCTCACCGTCACTTGAGGGTTTAGGGTTTAGGGTTTAGGGTTTAGGGTTTAGGGTTTAGGGTTACGGTCACCTGGTAGCTGAGAGTGGTTGAACTTTTGCCCTTTTTGGGTGTAGGGTTTAGGGGTTAGGCTTAGGTGTTTAGGGTTTAGGGTTTAGGGGTTCCCTTGTAAAAGTAACCAGCCCCAAAAAGGGTACCCTTATCATAACATGGTTACCGGGCTACCAAGGTCACAGTGTCGCTCCTCAGCGGACGGTCCGTCCAAGTTCCCGCTACAGCCAGCACGGCACTTGGTGAGATTCGAGAGGAGGCCGCTCGCTTGTTGGGGGTCCCCCTCGCCAGCTTGGTGCACGCAGATGGCTCAGGGGTTGATGAGCAGCAAACCCTGGCAGATGCGGGCCTCGATCTGGGGCAGCCGCTACAAGCTCTGGTGCGCACGACCATCGAGGTGGGTGACCTGGTGACTTGGTAGTTTGGTGGTACCCTTTTTCAGTTTTTTTTTTGGGGGGGGGTTTAAGGTTCCCTTAGAAACTAACCAGCCAAAAAGGGTGCCCGTATTGTAATATGGTTGCCGGGGTACCAAGGTGAAGGTCGAAGACGGAGTGACGCCATCCTATGGATGGGGTCAGGTCAAGGCTGGCGATGTTGGGAAAGTCCACTCCATCGAAGGACGCAATGTCTCTGTCCCTAGGCAGGCGTTTGGGATGTTTTATATTTTCGCTTATTCGGTTTATCCCTAAACCCTAAACCCTAAACCCTAAATCCTAAACCCTATACCCTAAGCCCTAAAGGGGCCATCCTAGGTCCACTTCCCGACACATTCAGGGTGGAGTGGGAAACTCGACGAGATGGAGCTGGTTCAGGCGAAGGAGGCGCCGGTTTAGGGTTTAGGGTTTAGGGTTTAGGGTTTAGGGTTTAGGGTTTAGGGTTTAGGGTGTAGGGTTTAGGGTTTAGGGTTTAGGGGTAGCCCAGTGGTACCCTTGTTTGCCCCTTTTTTGGGCCCAAGGTTCCCTTTGTAAAAGTAGCCCTAAACCCTAAACCCTAGACCCCAAGCCCTAAACCCTAAACCCTAAACCCTCAAAACGGGCACGCTTATTGGACTATGGCTACTGGGCTACCAAGGTGAGGAAACAGCCACCAAAAAGCACAATCGATGTGGGATGCATCGTGAAAGTCCGCGAGGGAGTGACGCCGCGCTATGGCTGGGGCGATGCTTGGGCTGGGGTTTAGGATTTAGGGTTTTGGGTTTAGGGTTGGGGGTTTAGGGTTTAGGGTTTCGGGTTTAGGATTTAGGGTTTCGGGTTTAGGGGTTAGGGTTTAGGGTTTCTAATTTCCCTTCTTTCTTTACAAGGGAACCTATTCATGAATAGCTTTCAAAGGGTTTAAAGCATAACTGAGGATGTCAAGCCCGGCGAGTGTGGGAAAGTTGTCTCCATAAGTGGCGACAACGTCGTTATCAACACTGAGAGCCAGTCAGGATGGAGTTGTCGTCTCGACGAGATCGAGGTGGTCGAAGCTGTCGGTCCAGAACCCGAGGTCGGTAGAATTGAGAGATTCCCCCCTGTAGAATTGCACCATACTACACCCCTCGCCCCAGAAAAGGTTAGTCCACTCATTGACCCTTTTTGACTCCGTCAAACGGAACTCTGACCCTAGACCCCAAACCAGAATCCTTAGGGGCCCTACATTTGCATTTCAGAAGCCCTTATCTTGGTAGCCCAGCGGTACCCTTTTCCCTTTTTTGGTTGTTCAAGGTTCCCTTATAAAATAACCAACCCCAAAAAAGGGCGCCCTTATTCAAATATGGCTACCAAGTTATAGTAACTCTTCTAGTAGCCCATATAGTCACCTTAGCAAAAAAAGCCCTGTAGAGGAGCCCCTAAAAGCCTACAAGCGCTAGTAACCCCTAAACACCCTACACCTAAACCCTCAGCCCTAAACCCTAAGCCCTAAGCCCTACTAAACCCTAAGCCCTAAGCCCTAAGCCCTAAGCCCTGAGCCCTGAGCCCTAAACCCTAAACCCTAAACCCTAAACCCTAAACCCTAAACCCTAGACCCTAAACCCTAAACCCTAAACCCTAAACCCTAAACCCTAAACCCTAAACCCTAAACCCTAAACCCTAAACCCTAAACCCTAAACCCGCCGGTGCCCGGATCTCGCGGAGGGAAGGGCTGGCCTCGATGTGGGGCAGCCGCCACAAGCTCTGGTGCGCACGACCATCGAGGTGGGAGACTTGGTGACTTGGTAGCCCGGTGGTACCCCTGTTTCCCTTTTGGGGTTAAGGGTTTGGGGTTTAGGGTTTAGGGCTAGTGGTAGCCCGGTGGTACCCTTTTCCCTTGTTTTTGTTTTAAGTTAAAGTTCCTTTAGAAACTAACCAGCCCAAAAAGGGTGCCCTTATCATAAGATGGTTACCGGGGTACCAAGGTGAAGGTCCAAGACGGAGTCTTGGCTTTCTTCTGGCTGGCTCTTTGGGACTTTAACTTGTTGGGTCTTTGTAGAAACTACAACAAGTTTTGACATTAAGGGTTTAGGGTGTAGGGTATAGGGTATAGGGTTTAGGGGCTTAAAAGGTTAAACTTTTCGGAGGGGTTCAGAAGTCAGCCAAGGAGTGACGCCATCTTACGGCTGGGGTCAGGTCAAGGCTGGCGACATTGGGAAAGTCCACTCCATCCAAGGAGGCAATGTCTCTGTCCACTTCCCGGGGAATTCAGGGTGGAGTGGGAAACTCGACGAGATGGAGCTGGTTCAGGCACAGGAGGCGCCGGTGTCTCGGTTGCCCAGTGGTGCCCTTGTTTCCCCTGTTTTTGGCTCAAGGTTGCCTTTGTAAAAGTAACCCCAAACCCTAAACTCTAAACCTAAACCCCAAGCGCTTAAAGGGGCACCCTTGTTGGACACTGGGCTACCAAGGAGAGGAGCGAAATCGTTGTGGGATGCATCGTGAAAGTCCGCGATGGAGTGACGCCGCGCTATGGCTGGGGCGATGCTTGGGTTAGGGTTTAGGGTTTAGGGTTTAGGGTTTGGGGTTTGGGGTTTAAGGGTTTGGGGTTTAGGGTTTAGGGTTTAGGGCTTATTTCTACTTCCCCTGCTTCTTTATAAGGGAACCTATTCATGAATAGCTTTCAAAGGGTTCAAAGCACAACTGAGGATGTCAAGCCCGGCGAGTGTGGGAAAGTTGTCTCCGTAAGTGGCGACAACGTCGTTATCAACACTGAGAGCCAGTCAGGATGCTAGGCAGGTTTAGGGTTTAGGGTTCAGGGTTTAGGGTTTAAGTTTAGGGTTTAGGGTTTATCAGCACTGAGAGCCAGTCAGGATGCTAGGTAGGTCCTTGGGATATCTTTATGTTTCCCATATTGGGTTTACGAGGGTCATATTCTACCAATTGCTTAAGAACCCCCCCCCCCCCCAACAAAATTCAAAAAACACAAAAAACCAAAAAAAAAAAAAAGAAAAACAATAGAATAATGAAAAATAGTCTTCCTGATAAGGGTAGTATAGGGATTACATGTCTATTTTTTGGAGGTTCTCCAGCAAATAGTCATATTCAGGAATATCCTTCATACCCTAAACCCTAAACCCTAAACCCTTGTGCCGAGGGCTTTCAAGAGGTATTCGAGGATGGAGCGCGCGCCTCGAGGAGCTCGAGGTGGTCGAAGCAGTCAGTCCCGAACCCGAGGTCGGAAGAATTGGGAATGAGCCCTAAACCTAAACCCTAAAACCCTAAACCCTAAACCCTAAACCCTAAACCCCTCAGGTGACAGTGAAGGTTGCCTTGCTCAGCGGACGTTCCGTCGAAGTTTCAACGACGGCCAGCACTTCCCTCCGCGAGATCCGGGCCAAGGCAGCTTAGGGTTTAGGGTTTAGAGTTTAGGGTTTGGGTTTAGGGTTTAGGGTTTAGGGTTTAGGGTTTAGGGTTTAGGGTTTAGGGTTTAGAGTTTAGGGTTAGGGTTTAGGGTTTAGGGTTTAGGGTTTAGGGTTTAGGGTTTAGGGTTTAGGGTTTAGGGTTTAGGGTTTAGGGTTTAGGGTTTAGGGTTTAGGGTTTAGGGTTTAGGGTTTAATTAGGGTTCAGGCCCTGAACCCTAAACCCTAAACCCTGAACTTCAGGGTGTGAGCGCTCGGGGTTTGGCTCACAAGTCGGAAGCCAACGCCTTGTTTCAGAATTTCAGGGGTGTACTACAGGGGTCGGAATAATTCCTAACGCGTCCCTTTCAAAATATACTATAAGAACCCCCCCCCCCCCCCCCCCCCCCCCCAAAACCCCATTCTAATCATTAAGGCCCCTATATTCTATCCTAAGAGGCCAGACGGTGGTTTACGAAATTAGTGGTATGTACCTTATTGGGGTCCTCTCTATACAGGAATCCTACTGCTTGGGGTCTGTTTTAGGGGTCCCCTATTTTCGTAAACCTCCTATATATAGTAGCCCTAAACCCTAAACCCGAACCGAACCCTAAGCCTAAGCCCCAAACCCTAAATCCTTAGCCCTAGATCCTAAACCCTAAACCCACACCCTAAATCCTAAACCCTAAACCCTAAACCCCTAAACCCCTAAGCCCTATCCCAAGAGGCCGCTCATCTATTGGATGTCCGCCTTTCGAAACTGGTACATGCGGATGGCTCGATGTTCGATCCTGGGCCTCCCGTTGGTCAACTTGTTTTGTTTGGTGGGTTTAGGTTTTAGGGTTTGGGGTTTAGGGTTTAGGGTTTAGGGTTCCCGGAAAGCATCAGTACTTACGCAAGATTACCCCGTCTTTAGCCATATAACTTGCAACATATTCCATGGAAGCTTTGTTGAAGCCCTAACTTTGTCAGAGGGGGGGTAACATTTTACATTCTTAAGGGTACTTAAATTCAATAAGGAATAGCAATATCAACATTTAATACTATCCCAACCATGTACTAGTAAACCCTTCTCCCCAAACACTGGGCCCTGGACTCTAAACTATGGCCCCTAACCTTAGAGAACCCCAAACGCCCTACACCCTAAGACTTCCAACCCTACAAAACCCGAAACCCGAAACCCGAAACCCCAAACCCCAAGCCCCAAGCCCCAAGCCCCAAACCCTAAACCCTAAACCCTAAACCCTAAACCCTAAACCCTAAACCCTAAACCCTAAACCCTAAACCCTAAACCCTAAACCCTAAACCCTAAACCCTAAACCAGACCCGAGGATGAGACACAGAGCCTGGCTGATGCCGGGATCGATCTCCGGGAGCCGCTGCAAGCCGTGGTGCGCAATTGTGAATTGCAGGCGGCTTAGGGTTTAGGGTTTAGGGTTTAGGGTTTAGGGTTTAGGGTTTAGGGTTTAGGGTTTAGGAAAATAGCCCCTTTAGGAATGATTTTGATTTCATTTGTATAAACCCCAAGACCCCATGAAGAATATATTCGTGTTTGTTAGTGTTCTAAGGGGCTAAGGGGAGAATTGGTCAAAATACGGTTGAGGGTTCAGGGAGGAGTCTAGGATTTAGGGTTCACGGTTTTGTTTGGGGTGTAGGGGTTTAGTTTAGGATTTCGGGTTCAGGGTTTAGTTGAGGATTTTAAGGCTTACCGTATTGGGTAGCCTCTTTCCTGAGAGCACGCTAGACGGATATTAGTAGGACACAGAGTAGGCCCTTATGTCCTTTTTTTAAGGTTTAGGTTACCCTAAACCCTAAACCCTAAACCCTAAACCCTAAACCCTAAACCCTAAACCCTAAACCTGAAGCCCTAAGCCCTAAGCCCTAAGCCCTAAGCCCTAAGCCCTAAGCCCTAAGCCCTAAGCCCTAAGCCCTAAGCCCTAAGCCCTAAGCCCTAAGCCCTAAGCCCTAAGCCCTAAGCCCTAAGCCCTAAGCCCTAAGCCCCTTTAAACCAAAAAGGGCACCCTGTATATTCCTAGGCCATTCCTTTGTCTAGTATAAAAACTTGTCTCGAACTCTACAGGATCCCTTCATGGGAGCCCTAAACCCTAAACCCTAAACCCTAAACCCTAAACCCTAAACCCTAAACCCTAAACCCTAAACCCTAAACCCTAAACCCTGAACCCTGAACCCTGAACCCTAAACCCTGAACCCTAAACCCTAAACCCTACTCTACCGTAGGGGCCTGAATAGTTACCAATATGTTTTCTCCAGGGTTCCATATGACAGCTATACTATAGTATACCCCAAAACCGTATTCTAATTGTTAAGGCCCCTATATTAACCCCTTTTATGGTTCCGTACTAAGGGACCATGGCCCTAAACCCTACATCCTAAACCCTAAATCCCCATATTAAGGGACAATGTAACTACCCCAAGAGCTTCCGGAGAAATGAAGCCCTGGAATCTCCGAGGTGGGGGACATGGTGAGAGTCCGAGACGATGTCGAAAATCCCAGGCATGGCTGGGGCAGCGTCCAGCGTGGCGACCATGGGCGAGTTCCTTTATCCGGCGTCCTTTATGGGGTCCAATAAGGACTAGAAGAAATATATATATATATTTATATTTATAAGGACTACTAAAGCTTGTGGGTGTAGGGTTCCTGGGCTCGTCTTGAGTGACTTGGCAGAGTCCGGGGGTTTCAAAAGTGCTTCGTGGAGGCTGTCGTTCCAGGTTCAGGGTTCAGTACTCGAACTTCGGGTCGGGTGCCGGAAAACAGTGAGTGACAGCACTAAACAACACAAATCTGCCTCGATGCTGTAGCTTAAACTGAGAGTCTTTAGGTTAGGGTTTAGGGTTTAGGGTTCTGGGTTTAGGGTTTGGGGTTTAGGGTTCTGGGTTTAGGGTTTCGGGTCTCGTCGCTAACCCAGGTTACGGCCATCAATGAAGAGAACGCCACGGTTAATTTTCCCAGTCAGTCGGGCTGGGCAGGTAATATCGACGAGCTAGAGCTCTGCTAGTGCGCACATGAAGCGGCTTTGTCCAATTGCGCTGGAGCTGTTGTTGCTCCAACGCCTGGCCATGTGACAGCTGAGCTTGTCGTGACTGAAACAGTACGGGAGCCTGTCGATGAAATCAGGCCCGTTTCAGATTGATTTTCCAAAGACCTGGGACGCTTGGAGTGTTTCCAGCCAGGCCTCAAACACATGGGTGCCTTTACAGACTCTGCAAGCAAAAAAGTGCGGCACCCTTGATCAAATATCAAAAAAACTATGACCAGCTACAGCACCAGAGGCTTATACGTTTGCGCCCTAATTCAGCAGTAAAAGAACCTAGCACGTTTAGGCCACTTAAGTCCGTAATATTCGTGCTTGGCTCTTCAGTTGTCTGGCAAGGGCCAGCCCGGGGCCTAAGCCCTAAACCCTAAACCCCAAAAAATCCCTAAAACCCTAAAACCCTAAGACCCCTCAAACCCCTAAAACCCCTAAACCCCAAAAACCCCCAAAAACCCTAAAACCCTAAAACCCCTAAAACCCCTAAAACCCCTAAAACCCCTAAAACCCCTAAAACCCCTAAAACCCCTAAAATCCCTAAAACCCCTAAAAACCCCTAAAACCCTAAAACCCCTAAAGCCCCTAAAACCCCTAAAACCCCTAAAGCCCCTAAAACCCCTAAAACCCCTAAAACCCCTAAACCCCTCAACCCCGGCACCGATAAGTAGGTGCTACCAGTCGGGTACTTGCACTTCCAACCCAAGTCAGGGTCCTTACAACCCCTACTTGCAAGTACCCATGAACCTCCAAGTAAACCCTAAACCCAAAACCCTCAACCCCAAACCTTGTCTCCCCAACCCTGAACCCTAAACCTCAAACCCGGTAGGTAGTACAGAAGCCCCATCGTTGTTGGGGTGCTAGCGTTTGTGCTGGCTTTGAGCTTAGTGCTTTTTGGAAAAGGGTTCTTCGCAGAGGTAAAGTTTGTTTTGTAGAGGGCTGTAGGGCTTCAGTTCCGGTTCCTCACTCTGGAAGGACACCGCCTCCAATTTGAATTCCTATGAAATCCAAAGCCCTATATCCCAAGCCCTACAAGCCCGAAATCCCTAAACCTTGAACCCAAACCCTAAGCCCTAAGCCCTAAACCCTAAACCCTAAACCCGAAACCCTACGCTCCAGGTACATGACAGCGCCTTGGTGGCAAGCGGGATGAGCATCGTGCATCGATTGCGAATTTGGCTTCGGGATGTCCCTTCAGGTGCTGTAGGGTTTAGGGTTTAGGATTTAGGGTTTAGGGTTCTGGGTTCAGGGTTCAGGGTTTAGTGTTGGTTTGAAAGGAGGGAGGGAAAGAGAGGCAGACAGAGGGAGGTGCCTTCCAAAGGCGTGCAGAGATCGATTTGGGGAATCAGACCGGGTGAAAAGAGCCCTAAACCTTAAACCCTAAACCCTAAACCCTAAACCCTAAACCCTAAACCCTAAACCCTAAACCCCAAACCCTAAACCCTAAACCCTGAACCCTAAACCCTAAACCCAAACCCCCAAGCCCAAACCCCAAGCCCTCCCCCAAGGTCTCCTGGGTTGCCTGCAAGGAACGGCCTGCGTTGCCGTTGAAGGCCGAGACTTGCGGTAAATCCAAAGGTCCTGCCTTGGGGGGGGGGGGGGGGGTTAGGGTTTAGGGTTTAGGGTTTAGGGTTTAGGGTTTAGGGTTTAGGGTTTAGGGTTTAGGGTTCAGGGGTTAGGGGTTAGAGTTTAGGGTTTAGGGTTCCAGGGTCTAGGGCGCTGTGGTGTTTTTTAGGTTCCCTATGATCCATGTACCTTATTTTTATACAAACTTGGGCGCCAAAGTTCTTAAATAGGAGGTGCTTTAAGGCCCAAGTCTACCCTATTTAGGTACATGGATTAAGCCCTAAACCCTAAACCCTAAACCCTAAACCCTAAACCCCAAACCCTAAACCCTAAACCCTTAGAGGTTTGACTTGGGGTTCGGGCTGAGAGGTCCCTGCAGGGTTTTTAAGGCTTTAAGGGGTGTTAGGGCATCCGGATGTGTAGGGTGGCTCGGCTTCTTAAAGACCCGCCCCGCCTAGGTTCCCCCCGCAATTAAGGCTAGTTAGGCGTAATACGCCTACTCAAGGTTGTTCAAGGGAACCCAGGGGGGGTGGTTTAGGGTTTAGGGTTTAGGGTTTAGGGTTTAGGGTTTAGGGTTTAGGGTTTAGGGTGTAGTATAGAGGGGGTAGTAGGGAAGCCCATGATTAAAGGGGCTCGGGGATTCAAGGAGCGCCGTTTTTGTGGTTTCAGGGGGTCGGGTTTGCAGGGTCTAGGGCTTTGAGGGCTGTTACTTAACCCTCACACCCCACACCCTGTAGCTTCGCGATGTAGCGCTAAACCCTAAACCCTAAACCCTAAACCCTAAACCCTAAACCCTAAACCCTAAACCCTAAACCCTAAACCCTAAACCCTAAACCCTAAACCCTAAACCCTAAACCCTAAACCCTAAACCCTAAACCCTAAACCCTAAACCCATAACCCTAAACCCTAAACCCTAAACCCTAAACCCTAAACCCTAAACCCTAAACCCTAAACCCTAAACCCTAAACCCTAAACCCTAAACCCTAAACCCTAAACCCTAAACCCTAAACCCTAAACCCTAAACCCTAAACCCTAAACGAACCGCCTCGGGATGTTCTGTGAGGGCTTCAGATGTTCAGGATTTACGGGGTTTCGGCGTTGCACCGATCAGTCTGGAGTCCTTGCGGGCCCCCTTTCCCCCTGCTGGATCCCTAGACCCGCTAAACCCTACACCCTAAACCCTAAACCCTAAACCCTAAACCCTAAACCCTAAACCCTAAAGCCTGAAAGCCCCATGAATCAAGGGTTTCCGTAACCGTTCCACCTCAAGTATCGTTCCACCTCAATTTCAGCGTGCTGCTTCAGCGCGAAGCCCACGCGCTGAAGCAGCATGCGAAATTAAGGCAGCACCCAAATCGAGGCAGCATGCATTTGGCACGGGAATTTGCCCTGCAATTTTCTTCTCAAACAAAATAGCCTTTCTAGCGAAACCCAGTTGATTTTCACAGCGTGCCACCTCGACTATCGTTCCACCTCAATTTCAGCGTGCTGCTTCAGCGCGAAGCCCACGCGCTGAAGCAGCACCCAAAATCGAGGAAGCACCCAAAGCGAGGCGGAATGGCTATGGAACTCCTTGAATGAACCCAAAGCAACCCCTATGATTTGCTTTTTGAGACAAATATAGGGCTACACAAAACACCTGAGCTTGAACCCCCCCCCCCCCCCCGTACTGCAAGGTGGCTCTCTCGACTGTCCGGAGAACTGCTTGCTGCGGCCGTCCTCAGGAGGGTTTTTTTTTAGGGTTTAGGGTTTTAGGGTTTTGGCATTGGGGTTGAGGGTTTAGGGTTTGAGGCTTTTGGGGTTTTGGGTTTGAGGGTTTTGGGGTTTTGGGTTTAGGAATTAGGGTTTAGGGGTTCTGAGGTTTAGGGTTTAGGGTTTAAGGCTTAGGGGTTCTGAGGCTTAGGGTTTTCAGGGGTTTTCAGGGGTTTAGGGGTTCTGAGGTTTAGGGATGTGGTTTAGGTAGGGTCCAGGGTCCGGGGCTGAGGGCATGGGCTTAGGGTTTAGGGTTTAGGGTTTAGGGTTTAGGGTTTAGGGTTCAGGTTTTAGGGTTTAGGGTTTAGGGTTTAGGGTCTTCAGGATTTTGGCGGTACGGAAGCTCATGGTGCAAGGGCTCGGGCTTCGTGTTTAATGCTCAGGGCTTAGGGTTTTTTGGGTTTAGGGTAGTTCAAAGGGGAGTTACATGGTCCCTTAATGTGGTTCTTTATCCCTTAAAGGGTTCTGAAGTAATCATGGGCCCTTGGGTTTTTTTGAGTCTATAGGGATATATAAGCGTCCTACTTTACTACCCCCAGAGTAGTGCCTAAACCCTAAACCCTAAACCCTAAACCCTAAACCCTAAACCCTAAACCCTAAACCCTAAACCCTAAACCCTAAACCCTAAACCCTAAACCCTAAACCCTAAACCCTAAACCCTAAACCCTAAGCCCTAAACCCTAAACCCTAAACCCGTTTAGGCCTTGGTAGGGTAAAGGCTTTAGGAGTTTAGGGCTTGAAGGCTTGAAGGCTTCGGGCGGGGAGTGTAGGGTTGAGGGTGTAGGGGTTGGGATGTGCCGCCTTATACTAACAGTCCTTAGTAGGGATTAAAGTACCCCGCCCCCCCGTTACAATCGCCAGTAAGGGCTGTTCCTATCAGGGGGAACATCCCAAGTTTAGGGCTGTAAGTTGAAGATTTACCCAACCCCCCAAAACCAAGACTCCATAATGGACATGTGATAGTCCCAGGGCCGAGGGTCTGTAATTCTTCGGGGTTAGGGCAGCCAAAATGTCCGTCTTAGGATTGTCCTCATTGGAATTGGGGCGCTTCGAGAGCATAAGGTTGAGGGACTAGCTTTTACGATCTAAACCCGAAACCCTAAACTCACAAGTATGACATGACGGCCTCTCAAGCCAAAGCATCGTAAATGACGTTTATTGCGTTTGTAGCATGATCCTTAAATGCCATTGAGTTTGCGCTTCAAGGTTCAGGTCCTGGACGCTGTTTTCTGCTTTCTGAAACCCCAAACCCTAAACCCGAAACCGAAATCCCTAAACCCTACAGAAACCCTAAACCAGTACCCCCCCACCCCCCACCCCCACACACCCAATACTCTAGGGCACAAGCGCCTTGATCAGGCTGTGCGCGGCAGGCTTCCTACCTGGTCCCCCCTGAGCTGCTCTTGCGCTGTGCCTGGGCTACAGGAAGTTTCGAGGGACGCCCAGTAGGGGGTTTAGGGGATAGGGTTTCGGGTTTAGGGAAAGGGTTTTTACTACGCCCTAAACCCTATAAACCCTATGAACCCCTAAACCCAAGTTCTAAATCCTAGGATTCCTTGTAAAGCCCTTCCGGCCCTTCCAGGGTTGCAAACCCTCCCCACTTGAGGCTTTACGGGTCTTTATCAGGCTTAGGAAGCAAGGTTTGAGGTTTA